TTATTTAATTTCATCTCTTCAAATTTAATTTTTATATTAACTTTAATCCTTATTTTTATAATTGCTATTTGTTTTTTTCTTATTATTTTTTTATTAAAAATTTTTATCGATTAAATTTGAACCTTATTTTTTTAATTGTTACTTATTTTATTTGAAATAATTTATTAAATGTTAATTATTATTATTTTAATTTTTAATTTTTAATTTTTTAATTTTATTTCTATTATTGTGATTATTATTTATTTTATTTGAAATAATTTATAAAATTATATTTTTATTCAACTTTTTAATTTTTAATATTTATTTCTTATTATTCTAATAAACTTTTTTTAAAAAATATTAATAAGTTATTTTCTAGTTTATTTTTCATAATTATAATCAAATACATAATATAATCAAATACTAAAAATTATTTTTTAATTTATTTTTAATTATACTACTAAATATTAAAAAATAATTTATTTTTTTAAAATTTACTTTTTTATAATTTATATTTTTTTAAAAAAATTATTTTCTAACCAGCAAACAATTACTAAAACTATGCCAACCAGGACACTACTACACTGGAAATCCAATCAAAGCAGAAAAAGAACGGCAGATTCCTCACCATAAAACGTGCTATATAAAAAGAGAAAAAAAAACAGAAACCAAACGGTCCTTTCTGTGGCTGGTTGCTGCTTCCTTACATACGTAAAAAGACAAATAGCCTTCAATCATTTTCATCATCATCACCACTAATCGACCTCCCTCTGCCATTCTCTTCTTTGTGCATATAAATTTATAAACATGGCACAAAATGGTAGGAACCCATTAATCTTTTATCACTTTCTTTCTCATGTATTTGACTCGCTTTCAATATGGGATCTTGATGAATCTTGCATGTTGATTTTTATTTGTTTTTATTTGGATGTTTCAGATTCTGTTTCAGAGTTCTTGGAAACTGCTGTTGAGGCAGCAAAGAAAGCTGGAGAGGTGAATTGTAAATTTTGGATTTTTTTTTGGTCCCTCATATTTAGTCTCATTTACATTTCTCGTCTGATTTGTAGATTATCCGTGAAGGATTTTACCAGACGAAGCATGTGGAGCATAAAGGCCAGGTACCCATCGTGCTTTTTTTGGTTTCTTTTTTTCTTTCCTTGTTGATCTTGAATGTAGAATGAGTTTGTGCAGTACTGTGCTTAGCAATTCTTTTTTTCTAAAGATAGGAAATTTGCTGATCAAATGCTGCTAAATATTCTTGAATTCATATCAGTGATTGATTATATCTAACTGGCAAATGAATCTAGCATGCACAGGGGAGCTTTAAAATCCCAGTTTGTAAAGCTAATGGAAATAAAGTCTTAATCTTGGCATTGGGGTAGACGAGTTTTGTAACAATTTCTAACATGCCAGGGGAGCTTTAAAATGGCAATTAAATTTAGCATCCAGGTTTGTAAAGCTAATGGCAATTGAATTCGGCATGCCGGTTTATAAAACTTATGGCAACAAAGTTTTGATCTCTGCGTTGAGGTCATCAAGTTGGTAAGGAAATCAGCCATTGTTGATGCTGCTCCTTCGATTTTCTATGGCTAGCATATTTTCTTGAACATGCAGCAGGAGTACCATGGAAATAGAGGAGAAATTTAGCACTTGAAAGTTTCCTACTCATTTGTGTTAATTTAGCCAGGATAAAAATTTTGTGATTAAACAAACTTGACTATATCATGTAATTACTGACAATTGCTTGCTTTATTTCTAAATTGCAGGTGGATTTAGTTACAGAGACTGACAAGGCTTGTGAAGCTCTCATTTTTAATCATCTCAAGCAGCAGTACCCCTCACATAAGGTTAACTCATCTTTTCTACTTACCGCTACCTGTAGCTAACGAATTCTTGGAATATAGTTCTGTGTGGGTATATTGTCTCCTCGCAAATGGCTGTGTTACTCGTAAAAATTTTCTTTTACTTTTGTTTCTTAGCTCATTGGGGAAGAAACTACTGCTGCCTATGGTGCTACAGAACTGACTGATGAACCAACTTGGATTGTTGATCCTCTTGATGGAACAACCAACTTTGTCCATGGGTAAATCTTGTTTTCTAATGTTGTTTGGTGAATGCAATTTCTTCTTGTTTTTATACATGTACATCACTTCAATGTATTGCAACATGTTTGGATGTAGGTTCCCCTTTGTGTGTATCTCTATTGGTCTTACGATTGGAAAAGTTCCCACAGTAGGTGTTGTTTACAATCCAATAATGGATGAGGTGAGATTTTGTGGTTCACATGTTAGCTCAGGTGGCCACATACCATTTAGAACTTTGAATGATTAGAAATTTTATGAAGAACATGCAGAGGTGACCTACTTTGATATAACCTGCATGTAAGCCTTACGTGAGTGCACCTTTCTGCATGAAACGAACACCAACCTCTTGTTTTCAGCTTTATGGTCTTTTACTTGGGTAAATGTCAGCTTTGTGATGTTGAGCCTGTCAATATTCTAATATTGGGGAAAAATGTATCTGGCTATCTTAAACAGTTTGCCTATCAAATTTGTACCTGCCTTCATTTAGATGTTTTGCTTTCATTTCAGATATGCTGTCATATATTGGCCTGCTTGACATCGAAGTTACTATAAGATTGATATGTCAAAATGTTTTAGAACTTGAAATGTGTCCCAATAATTGCTAAAAATTTCTGATTTATAAATGCAGCTTTTCACAGGCATCCATGGAAAAGGTGCTTTTCTGAATGGAAAACCCATAAAAGGTGTGTCTCTGGGTTGACTATAATCAATCTTCAGATTCTGATACTTTTTCTTTATGCTAATCTTTCCATGATACTCAAGCAACTGCATCCTCGTGTTTCAATGCCAGTATCATCTCAAAGTGAGCTTGTGAAATCTCTTCTTGTAACAGAGGTATGCTTTTCAGTACTGTCTTTATCAGCCCAAAGTTGTAATCAGAGTCACTGAGAGTTCCTTAAAAAACAGAAGGGAGCTTGAAGTCAAATTTAATAAATTGATGACAATGACTAGCTGAAAGGATTCAGGTAGCTTAAACCAAAATGAGAAGTTGGAATTGCATTTTAAACCAGTGATCAAATCATACCTACTGATGTTATATTCTTTGTAATGATTTGATCTTACAAAGTATACATTACAAATTGGTTTCTTGTTGAATTCGTTTCTTAAGGCTTCTGGTAGTGCCCTTGCAACACAATGGATTTCAGCTTTGATCCCAGATAGTGTTGGACATCTTCTATGTCCAATACTAAGGCTAGTCTTCTTTTACCCATAAATTGATTTTGCCGGCATGCTACTTAACCCCTTCCTACTATGTTGTAATATTAATCTTAGGCACAAAGCTCCCATGTATCTGAGAAATGCAGATCAAAGGTTTCTGAATGTATTTAGATTTTACCATGCTGCACTTGCAAAAAAATACATTATAAAGGAGTGCTTCAAGTTCATTCTTGGTGTGCTTCATATGGAATCTTGTTGAAGCTCTGTTCTGCTTCAAGTCTACTTCTTTATGTTTCATTACAAATGTTGAAAACTGATCAAATTAAATTCTGGTGACATCAAGCTGGAACAAAACGTGACAAATCCACTGTGGATGCCACTACTGACAAAATTAATAGCTTACTTTTCAAGGTATGACCAGAATCTGCCATGGAAACCATGTGCTTTGGTGAAATGTGTTGGTGTACATAAAGCATATCTGATTCTCTTGTTATCAGGTGAGATCCCTTAGAATGAGTGGCTCCTGTGCTTTGAATCTGTGTGGAATTGCGTGTGGAAGGATTGATTTGTTTTATGAAACTGGATATGGAGGCCCATGGTACGTATTTGTGATTGATTTCAGCAGGTTTTGGCAGGATGCATAAATGATATAATCTACTCTTGAACTCAGGGATGTAGCAGGAGGTGCTGTGATTGTCAAAGAAGCTGGAGGACTTGTTTATGATCCGTGAGTGATGCACTTTATTTAAGTGATGCACTTTATTTATCATTTCTTCCACAACTTGACTGGGGGGGTATATCTTTTCTTCCACAACTTGACTGGGGGGGTATAAGATGAGTAGGGAATAGCCCCATGACCCTATTCTTTAGCATGCAAGAACAGTGTTTATCAAAGGTCAAATTGCCTTGGTCATTGTCTTGTGACATCCACAAATCTTTCATTTGTGCATGCATCAAGTCCATGATATTAAAAATAAAAATATTCTCAGATTTTTTGGGGAATATAATGCCTTTATTAAAATTTTCATGCTTGTTGTTTTGCATCAGATCTGGTAAAGATTTTGACATCACTTCTCAGAGAGTTGCAGCTTCAAACCCTCTCCTGAAGGATGCATTTGTTGAGGTTTTGCAGCAGTCGGAACGAGAAAGCAACTATTATAATCAATGAAATCACATATTAGTTGCTCAAGACAATCTAGTTTCCCTTCATTTTGTCAGCATCTAACGTTGCGTTCATCGATATCATTCACCATTAAAGTCAATCATTGCCAGCTGAGAGGCCCAATTGCTTTGTGGTTTTTAAACAATGCCAACTTATTTGTAGACTCCAATTGAAATGACAAATACCGTTGTTGGTCATTCGAAACTGCCATGTTAGCAATGTTTTTCTTCACTTTTCATTGAGCAGACAGCATGCCTGGTTGATCCATGGGCTGTCTTATTTCTGTCTCTCCTAGTATTACCTGAACCTCTTAGCTTGATTCTCTAACAAACAGAACAGGATACCGAATGAGAGTTTTGGGTCTTCCCCAATTGATGAAAGTGTTTCACAGCAATAAATATTTAATAGTAGCGAGGGCAATGACTATTGTTGACATGCAGCAAAATATAGGCAAGGAATTATTGATTGAATCTGTGGAGTACTTGCTGGTGTCATGGGGATATCAAATATCAAACGTTCAGGCAGTTTGATCTTCTTTCCTTTGCTGCATGTGAAAACTTGTGAGGAAATTGGACATCAAGAAATGGGTAGCAAAGAATTGAGAAGAAAACCATCAAGGAAACAAGGGGGAAAACAGGATATATATAATAAATAAACAGAGAGAGGCAAATACATGTGATCTCAAGGACCATGTTCAGGCAGAAAACTCCTAAAGACTAACCAGTGAAAGAATCACTTCTAACCCTAACCTCCCTCTGCATATGGGGCCTCCATAAATATACATGAGGGTGCACAAACTCTGCAAAAGCAAAGGATGAAAGAGGGAAAAACAAACAGAAATTCACAACTGATATCCCATAGTTTAATTTACACCCCTTGTTGTGGTCTCCCACCGTACCCATTAGCCCCATTTGATCCATTGGTGAAATGAGGCATCTTTCCAGCAGTCTCTGAACTTTTCCTTTTCACCACAACATACCATGTATAACCTTCCAGCCAGACAGCGTTTAAGGCCAAAGCCACAATGACACCAATGTATGCATTCTTCCACTTCTCATCAGGGTTCAAAATGTTGAATCCTTTGAATATGTTGATGACGCTAAGGATGATAACACTGTACCCAACTAAATGGTGGTAGATGTTCCAGTAAAATCTATACTTGTGATCAGCTTTTGGCCTTAGAAGCAAAGCAAACACCTAAAATCCAAACCACAAACCTCTCTTTTAATACGCTATTACAGGTATAACACGCTCAAAAACTATGTGGCACAGAATTTTTGCTTACCTGAAGGGTTCCGAGGCAGAAAAGGATGATGCCAATTGTTCTATGAGCATCATATTGAATACCAGCTGATTCACTGCCAAGTTTTAGACCGGTAGCCCACCCAGCAACACCAACAATATAGGCTATGGATTGGCAACTGGCATGGAGATAAAACCATGCAGGATCTGCAGATTTGAATACCTTCAAGTACCTTGCTATCAAAGCACCAATTGGCATCAGAATACCCCAACTGACAGCATTTAGCACCCCATGAATCTGAAGTTTTTTGAAGAATTGATCAGAATTAGTTTTTGGTTCATAAAGAAAAGAATTTTTTTTTATTCACTAACAGTCATAAACAGAGTAAAAAACAGAACAAATGAAAACAGAATGAACCATATATGGAGAACAAAATACTGATTCTAGGGCTTACATTTCTCTTTCTATTTTTTCCATTCCCTCCTGTAGAACTAGATTCTCCAGAAAGAAGGTTTAAAGTCCCCATGGATTGGACATTAGACCCACTAGTGGAATGAATCTGAGGAGCATTACCAGAGAGTGGACCATCCTGCCAAACCTGGTTAACAGTGGTGCTAGTGTTTGAAAGTTCTATAGTAGCAAGCATGATCAACTCATTATTTGCTAACGTAGCTGATAAATCTGAAACATCAAAACTAAGTTTCCCTTCTTGCAATGAGGTTTGGTAGCTACTGATAGGTGATGTGTAAGCCCTCATAGTTCCATCAGTTTGTTGGTATGCAACAAGGGCTTGTGAACCAGCCATGCCAGTTGAAGTAGGGTTGATAGCCCATGAAACCCATTTAGAGGAAGTGATTCCTTTGTGTCTATATGCAATTTGGAGCTTGTTTGATGATGAATCATAGTTCCAATGAAGATATGAGTTCAAGACTGGAAGATCATTGCATGCCCTAAAGATCTTGTTGCTGGAGAAAGCATAGCTCTTACATGACTGAGCAGTTGAAGAGAAAACCAGTGACATGAGAATTGCGAGAGAGAACACAAGATTTAGCGCTCTAGCCATAATGGCTAAAGAAGAACCAAGACACCAAGAAAGAAACCAAGGACTTGCTTTCTTATGTGACAAGGTCTACACACGATGAAGAAATTGTAAGAAACCTAGCAATGAGATACTTGTGAAGGGGAGAACAGAGTTTAATGTATAGAGAGTTTAGGTAGGTTAGGTTGTTGGATTGTCCGTTGGGAATGCCTCAATTTATTAAGAGTTGTTGCATATTTTCACACTCTTCCAAAAATAAAAATTCAAATTCAAATTATTTGTGTGATAATGTGATGATACGTACAGTGTTTTGTTTAAAAATATCAATTAAAATAATATTTTTTATATTATATATTAAAATTATCAAGAAACATACCAAAAAAATATTTTTCAAATATAAAAACAAGCACTCATATATATATATATATATATATATATGTCACACATATCCATAATGTTAACATAAAGTCATGACATTAATGTCAGTCCACATTTTCATTTTTTTCAAACAAATAAACATGCTATTTTTATTTTCATTTTCTTTGTTAGCTCGTAACCATCTTTCCTTTTCACACCTACACATGCCCAACTCTAACAACATGGTACTAATGGAGCCATCGAAGCAACTCTCGCAGGTGATTGCTGGTTAGTGAGATAGTTGTTGGTCGACCATGGCAAAATTCTCACCAAGGATAAATTTTAAGGAGCCTTCAATTTATTTATTTAATTTCTGATCAGCAAAAAAAAAGGAATTTCTTTTAAAAAAAATATCATACCAAATAAATCGTTCACCTGAATTTTAATGATTGAAAATAGAGTAGATTAGATACTTGTTGATGTTATGACTATGCAACCCACAAGCCGAATATCAAATTTTATTTGTCATCTTTAACAACAATAGTGTGGTACCCACAGGATTTTTTTTTCACGTATATTAGTTTGGTTGATTTTAATATATACAAAGAGATTGTTAATTTATATTTGTTATTGTTCCGAGACAAAATAAAGAAACGATGATATTTAAGATAGACAGGATATATTTTTATTTTTTTTATTTTGCAATTGTAAAAATTTATTTTATTGATAAGATTATTTTCATTTTTAAACCCAAGAAACTTGTTTTTGTTTATTTTCATGGATTTTATTATGTTTCTCAGAACCAACATGATTTTAAAATTGAATGTCCTCTCGAATAATAATAAACAATTTCTGCATGACAATCCAACTATCTGGCGATGATTGCAGCAAATCCAAATGAAAAAAAAAAAAGAATATTTTGAGAAAAAGAAGAAAAGAACTCATTTGGTAAAAGTGGGAAATGAGTTAAGTTGTAAAAGTTTGTCAACGAAGTTGGACAACAAAAACTCATAATATTACTTTGAGTATGTTTGATATTATAATAGTTATTATAATTAAAATTAATTTAAAAAAATATATATTTAATTAAAATTAAAATTAAATAAAAAATAATTTAATGTGTTTTGTTATAAAAATAATTTTTAAATTGAGGTTATAAAATAACTAATATATATATATATTAATATTAAAGATTCTTTATTTAAGTATTATAGATTTAGCTACTATTATTACATTATGAAATAAATAATATTTAATATAAAATATTTTTTATTATTTCATTAAATTATCTATAATTTTATTGATTTTATAAACACATAATAACATCATATAAATTATCATTATAAATAAAATTAAAATTACAATTAAATTTTATAAATATTATATCATTAAAAAATCACCTTTTAATTTATATAGTATTATTAAATAATATTCAATACTACTTTTTTAAATAAAATTTAATTAAAAATAAAAATAACATAATGTTTTAACTGAATAAAATCCAGTTTAATATTAAATCAAATTCAGTATAACCGGAACTGTGAAAAACATTTCCACTGTTTACTTAAATGAGTAATAAAAAATGAAACTCTCCACTGTCAACAAATTAAAATAATTTAGAGCTGCTCTAAACGACACGCAGACATGCCCCGCAAATTCTAGTAGATTCCATTAACAATAAACAATGCTTTATCACTTACCGGATAACTACTGATACTTATAATGGTACCTGAACGTGAAAGCTACCACGTAGCTAACATGTTTTTAATTAGAAATTAAAATTCCCTAAACGAATCGTTTTAGCCACAAAAGACCAGAATGGGAAAGGATAGGTTGGGGTTAGGTATGTGGTTAATCAAATAAGGGACCAATTTCCTGGTCAAACCAAATCTCCGGTGGCCTCGTGTCTAAAATCTGATGGCCACATGCAGCTTTTCTACAAGGTCAAATGGCTGGTGATCTAATCAGGGACCCACTATTTGTAGCCCTCAAGGGATACCTGCTCCACCACCACCATGGTCCTCGAGCACCGCTGGTTTATCGTCCTTTCTCCCCGCTTTCCATTCCCATTATATTTTTCTTTTTCTTCTTTGGAAAATCTCAAAAATGACCCAAACTACGAGATAGTTTCAATTCCACTCCTATAAAAAAAGAATTTGTATCAATTTTATCTCTTAAGTTTCAGTTATTCTCAATTACATCTTTTCATCCATATTGTACTCTTTTTTTTATAATAAAAGATGCTGTTTTATAAAAATAAACTTAATGTTTTTTTTCTTAAAAGGATTCAATTAAAAAATCTTAATTATTTTGAGATAAAATTGATGGGGCCTCAACAATTAGGGGATATATTGAGGCTTGTTGGTTTTTTCTAAAGAGAAATCTTATTCATGATTCAATAGAAGATCGAAGACAACAATGAAGAAAATCTTTGCATATGTTTTTTGTTATCTGTGAGCGAAGCAAATCCAAATAATTGTCCTTATACTGTAACATATCTTATGCGTGTCACTCATTTAAGGACCATTTCTACATAAATCTGTTTCTATTTAATATAATAAAAATATTCTCAGATTAGCTAAGTGTTTTTTTTTTCCAAATGATTTTCAAAAATGCATCTCATGTATATTAACTGATATATTCAGAAGAATTTAATAAATTTTGCTCGATAATAATTTAAAGGTTTAAATCTAAAAAAATGAGCAAACTTCTTTAATCACTAGACGAGTTCTAGGAGTTATATATATATATATGATGATAAGATAAGTTAATCCCATGCATGACGTGATCAAAAACAAGAAGACAACATTAGCCCGCGGATCTTGCTTGTTTTGTGTTATTTGTTTTGCTAATTTGATTAAGAATATAAGATTATTGTTTTCACCAAAGAAAACAAGAGAAATCTTATTCATGATTCAATAGAAGATCGAAGACAACAATGAAGAAAATCTTTGCATATGTTTTTTGTTATCTGTGAGCAAAGCAAATCCAAATAATTGTCCTTATACTGTAACATATCTTATGCGTGTCACTCATTTAAGGACCATTTCTACATAAATCTGTTTCTATTTAATATAATTAACTTAATTATATATATATATATATATATATATGAAGATCTTTAGGTGTGTGTGTGTGTGTGTTAAGACTGGATCTCTCTTTTCAATTGTGTTTTAACCAATATATTATTTACAAAAAAATTTCTTTTTCACATTTTATTTTAATTCAGATTTTAGATAATAACATGGAAATAAATTCAACTTAGGCGAGCTACAAGAAATTTTCCCCCCCAAGGATCTACTTCTGCCTAGAAAAACAAAACAAAATTAGGATTCTACTTCTGCCTAGAAAAACAAAACAAAACAAAATTAGGATTTCAAACCCAAAAATTACAAACCTAATTGTTGAGAAATCTAAAGAAATTTCTTTAATGTTTTTAATTAAATATGAATAGTATTTTGAATAATAAAAAACAATCCAATTGTTTATATAGATGTTCTTAAAAACAACCTAAATAAAAAACATAAACTAAGTTACAAATAAATAATTAAAATCTAAAATTATATATAAAAATAACTAAAATAGTTAAAAACAACAACTTCTAAGTCTAATTTTAAAAAAATTCATAAAAACATAGTCTAAAAAAATCTCTTGTGAAAATTGAAATCCGATCTAATAACCAAATTTCTGTTATTATTGTTTTAAATTACGTTGTCAGGTCTTCTTAGACCATTTTTGTTATTAATTTAATTCATAAAATAATGGAATAATTGTTCTTCATGTATAGAAATATGGTAATGTAAGCATGATGCTAACCTTGCGTCACAAATGAAGCATGGAAAGGTCACAATTAAAGTTAGGAAAAGCTAGCTACTATAAATTGTTCCCATATTTAATAACATAGCTTGCAATCCTGCCAAGATACTTTGATTTTACATGTTTAAATAAATTTCAACCGAATGGGAACAATTATCTTTGCCTTCAACAAACACTTTGATCATTCTTTATAATTAATTTGCTAGAGCATATATTATTTTGAGAGAATGACATATATCATCCATGGAATTATTTAATTACTTGAAGGTGTTTGAAAAGAGATGCATACAATCATCTCTTTTCACTATAAATGTTTACACTTAATTTAAAGTTTCATATCATGTCACAATCACTTTCCTTATAATAATCGGTGGATCTTCTAGGGTTTTCAAGAACAAAGTTTAAATAAACAATAGAAGAGACATATAACACTTTTTTTTTTTTTTAGAAAAACAAAAATAAATTATGGTTGAATTTTTTACATTAAATTTCAATGTACATTATGTTTATCAGAAAACTCTATTTATAAGTTTCAGAAAATTTTTATAAATCCTCTTAAATATAAATTCTAAAATTCAAATTTAAAAAATTAAAAAATAACTCATCACTTAAGATTGGATAAAAATGCATGAATGGTCCACCACATTAATACTAGTGGTTGGCATGGGTTGAGAATTGTTGTACAAAGAAGGGATTTGAAGTATGTATTTAGAATTGTGGTTGTTGTTTTTTTATTGTAATTTAAATAAAGTAGGTTTAGAAAAATATTTTGCATATAAAATAAATAAAAAATAGATCTTAATAAAAAAACATTTATTTGAATTTAAAAATTAAAAAAAAAAACAAAGTTTGAAACACAATTATATATAAAGTTTCAGTAAAAAAATAATAATTAGCTAACCAAATAATATTTTTTTATAATTAGAAAAAAATAAAAATTATTACAATATCAAATAGTCTGTTAATTATCAAGAGAATCATTACAGGAACAAGCGGTTTAAATGTCAA